TCAAAAACCTGCTGAAATACAAATGTGCCTCCACATTTGATGTGCTCAGATTTACTCACTGTCCATACTACCAAGGATATTAGCTCCACACACAGGCACTGGCTGAAAAGATGAATCTCAGACATTTTGGTTGCAGTAACTGTCGATTTGAGGATTCCTTCTTGCCATTTTTTTTTCCTTTTTTTGCCACTGTACTTATTGTGTGGCTCCATGAGCTTGTGGTGCACACAGTACACAAAGTGAGGACATGAATCATTCTGAGGAAGGACAGTGAGAGCCTTTCACTGCTCCTTGAGACATCAGAGAGCTGTGCTGGTTGCAGAGCGTGCTCCCTCCTGGGAGCAAGGGCAGAAATCACAGTGGGATGGGTCAGGAGTGTGTGTCAGCACTCACCACCACATAACAAGTGACAGCAAAGCTGCAAGATGTCACAGCCTCACAGGGAAATCCTTCTGTCTTGGCACTTTCCTCCTGCTTCAGCCCAGCTGTCAAAACCCGGCATTCCCAGAGCACGGCAACCCACAGCAGCATGGGTGAAGCAAAGACAGCAGAACTTGAGGAGAGTTCTCTCAGGCAGAGTCAGGGACACCATGAGGCACCTGATTCTGGGAAATGGAATAGAATAGACAAACATGCAGATTCTTTCTGGAGATAAGGTTGTTTTTAATTACATCATCTCTCCTGAGGAGCAGAGCTTGCATCCCTCGTTCTTCCCTAGTTCATCCCAGCTGGAGATATGTGTTTTGTTAAACAGATGCACTGAATAAAAATCTAAAACAGTTTTGTACATGCAGAAGTGCACACACAGCAAACACACGGTTGCAGTGCAGTGTTCACACAGGTGATCTTCAGATACAGTATTTGATGTTATCTCTTCCATGCAATATCCTCCAGTGCCATATATTGCATAACACCTGCCCCCAAGGACTTCTATGTATTAAAAAGACCTCTTCAGTTTGTAAGCAAAAATAGAAGCACAACAAAAAGTTCAGTTATAGCAAAATGGAGCTCATGTGTGTGAATTTCAATGAGGACAAATCCTCGTACTGATTTTTATAATGTATTTGGCCTCATAAGTAAAAAGTATTAAATTTTAGAGTCTGAGTGTTTTGAATATTAACATGGGTACTAGATTGTAAAAGTAACCCTCAATAAGCCTGTTTATACTTTATGAAGATGAGGAATTCCATGTACCCCATTCTTCCATTTGAATAAAAATATTTATTTAAGATCTTTCTTTAAATCTTTTGGTACCTAAGAATGCCCAAATGCTGAAGCCATATTTCATTTAACAACACACCCATCAGCAGAATCATCAGTGCTTCTAAGACATGATACAAGAGAGTTACTAGAAAAACAAGAGATGCTTGTCTTTATTCTCTTATGCAGATTTCCCCTATCAAAGACATTTATAATTTTTTTAAGATAAAAGGGCAACCGAAATTGTTAAAACTTAGTAGTTTTACTACTTTAATGATCTCTTGGTTTGGGAATTGATTTTACAGTACCCTGTAAATCTATTCCTTTTTTGACAATGATCAAGTAGATAGCAAGCAATAAATCACTGCTGCAACTAAGAATTGTACATTCAAGATAAGGTTTTAGATTATTTCTGTCATCTGGGTATGAGATGTTGCTTTTCAAGCAAAGATATATTGTCACAGTTTATTCACAATTAGAAAGATACAGATCCCATCAGTTAAAGACTGTTTCCCAACAAACATGTAGGCCTTTATACAGCCAGAATCATAACTTCAATATGAATAGATTTCTAGAAATACACACTGCTTCCATAGAAATTAGTGCTTACAATACTAAATACTACTGAAAAATAGGATTCCCTGCTTGCCAATGTCACTTGGTCATTGAGGAAAGCTGCCTTTCCAAATCAGTTGAAGAAAACATCCACTCCCCCATCCCCACCACTTATTATAGCTGAGTGTAGGATGTTTACAGGATCTAAAAATTAGCTGAACTATACAAATACAGCAGTGCCTTTCAGGATATCAAAAAATAAATCTGCACAGACATGCTCTGGTTATTTGCACCACTCATACAGTACATGTAACTCTTATTAACCTTCACTAACATTATGAAGTCAATCCATGCATTTTAACATTTAATCTTCTGAAAATCAGAACACAGTAATATCCATGTACAGTCCCTGATGTTGTAGAGATCCAAAAGCAAAAATCTTTCTCTCTCACAGCCCCTGTAGAAGACAAGGCCCTTGATGATCAGTATAGGCACCTTCTAGAAATCCCAATTTTTAAAACTGAAACTCAACTTTAAAATACATATGGGAGATAAATGGGGTGGTACAAACTGGGAGTCCTCAAAAATGTCCATCTCAAATTCTATGCAAAACCAACCCTTTGTTTATATTTCCAGTTTCCTTAGTATGCTAAATTTTACAGCACTTGTTGCAACACTTGTACATCTTATTTTTATGTTCTTAAAATAATTCCCATTTCTCCTCTAGAACTTTTTAAAGGTACTTCTACTATTTCAACTATTTTCATTCTTATTTTCACCTCCAGTTTCAGCTACTCAGAAATACAAGTCATTTTAATAGCAGAAGAGCAAAACACTCCTCAGCCTCAGCATCTTAACTTGCATTTTACATGTTTGTTTAATTTGATGTCCAGTCTTGAACAAACAAGACCTTAGCAGTGCAGGAAGACAAAACTTTGATGAACCCAGTCAGCCAAGAGGCCAAGCCTCAGCCTTCTCCAAGTTCTTCTCTGAACAGGTGTTTGCAGCTTTACTGGGTAAAAGGAATCACAGATGCAGATTATTTCATGCATAGAGGAGGGGGGAAGCCCTCCAAATATTTTAACAGTTGTTCTTTGTATGAAGGAAAACATGAACTCAAGCAATTCTGCAGAATGCAGCTGTGAGTTCTGAGCAAGGAAAGACAGCGTCGAGCAGGCCAGTGCAGAGTCACCAAGGACTTTGGGGTGTTGCTCACAAGTGGTCACAAAAAGTGCTCAGAGGAACACCACAGGCAAGCCAAACTGGACTTCACAGGCACTCCACCTACTCAGCAAGGGGTGGCCTTGGTATTCATCACAAGCTTTTATCACTGTGGTAAATAGGTATGATTCCTGCTGATAAAATTGTAACAGTAATCAATATTGATGCAGTAATTCATATTTGGAAATAATAAAACAGTTAAAGGTGTAATGCCAAGAAAGAAAGGGAGAGGAGGGGTTCCCCCCCCCACTTCCTGCAGATGTTCAGAACAGGAAGAAGCAAGAGATAACAATTACTAAAATTAACAGAAGGAATGGAAAATTTGGTTGGGTCCCAGGAAAATGCTAATTATATGACATTTATTGCTTTGATGCTAGAACATCATATTGGCTTATATTATATTAGCTTTGGCTTACATTATACCAGTTTGGTTCACATGTGTAATCCAAAAGGTGAATCAAAGGACATCGAGGAAGAGGAGAGGCCTTCATCAGGGATGACCCCTAAAGAGTGGGGGACCACCTAGAAGAGTGGTGGAGGTGGTGATGAGGGTGGAGATACAAGTGGGATGAATAAAAAATAGGAGGAGATGGTGATGACATACAACATAAAAAGGGAATTTTGAGCTTGGCAATTCATACATGATGTGACAGGGGTCAAGCCCTGCACTTCGTACCCCACACGGTTATTTTTGCTTATGCGCTATTATCAGAACCAAATTAGTCCTTATTTTAACCAAATTATATTGTCAGTATTTCAAGTATATTCAATTTTATATCTTTTAAGTTACTTGATTAAAATTGCTGTTACATTTAATTTTGTTTGGGTTTTTTTGATGGGCAAATATAACACCAGGAACTGATCCATGTCACACAACACTGGCTTCACATGAACAAGATGAGGTCATTTGCTTGCTGGGCATCAGGCTGATGTGTCAAATCTGCCTCTTCTGTTCCCAAATTTCACTGCTGTGTTTGTGAGCTTTGTGGCAGTGTGTTTCTGTGAGTTTTATAATTATTTCAATTGCAATATTTAGTGGTTCAGTGTTAGTTAAGCAAAATGGTGTGATCCTTGTACCCCCGTTTAACCCCTCAGGACGGTTTCTCCAAGTTATTTACCCCGAAGTTTTCCCACCATTTGGCTGCTGCTCAATGCGCCTGTCCCCCTGCTCCTCCCTTCCCTCCCTTGTGTGCACTTGTCAATCCAAGATGTGCTGTCCCCTTCCCCTGCCCATCAACCTAGATCCACCCCTTTTGCTCTCGAATGCTCGATGTCAATTACCCTGATGCTAACAGCTGGTTTGTCCCAGAGGCTTCTCCCCTCCCCTGTGTTTGCCTCATTGGTCTTGTTAGTTCCTTACTCCTCCCCAAGTGTTTCCCCATTGGATTTGTTATGCTCCCACCCCCTAGACCAAACCCCCTTTAAAAACCCCAGCTGCTGCTCCCTTGTCACTCGTCCTTGACTCATTCTTTGAACAAAGCTTCCTTGGACTGCACATGAGTGTCCCCTCTCCTTCTCTTCACCCCAGGATCCTCATGGTGTCCTGCTGCAGTGTCACCCACGCTGCTGCACCCACTGCCACCTGACAATCCTCGGCAGAGGCTCAGGGCAGCCTCTCTTGTGTGTCCCTCTGGTCACCCAGGGAGCTTCCTAGCTGGCATTCCAGCGCTCCGTGACCGCAGGAGAGCCACGGAGCCCGTCCTGCCTCATTCTGCAGCAGCTGCTTCAACTCCTCATCCCCACCAGAACTGCCCAGCTGCCAGGCCAAATCCCCATCACCCCTTCCCAGACATCCCAGTGCTGCAAAGCTCACCTGGGATTGTGGCATAAATACACACTTGGACAACACACAACACCCACCTTCTTCAGCTGCAAACAACAGCCACGTTTGGGACATGTTAAGATGTTAGGACTTGGTATTTCATGACCAGAGAAAGCAGATCCTTTCATTTCAAACGCATGGCAAAAAAAAACAAAACAAGAAAACCCCCAAAAAACCCAAAAAACAAAACCTCAAACAAAAGTAGAACGTGGATTTTTAAATTTATTTATTTATTGCAATTACAAGCCACTCCAAATAATTTTCATGTACTGATATGAAACAGCTGTGTTTGAGTACATGAATTAGACACCAGTTCAATATGAAGGTATGCACAAGTTTAGCTCCACAAGACAGGACTGACTAACTGCACATGAACTAGGCTTGTAAATAAAACCCAAAAACCAGCACTTTTGTGGCATGTGGAATGGCTAAGACAGAACTAAACAAAATGAACACTAGATTAATTATAATACGTTTACTTTGAACTAAGAAGTTTGTTAACAAAAATAATTTCCTTTCTTCTAAGTCCAAATACTGTCTAGAACTAGGAAATGCTAAATGTTTACAGCAAAGAAAGCTTGGAAAATAACTACCAGCATTTTTTTAAGGCATCAAGCTCTGTAGCTTATGCATCAAAGTCTTTTTTATAAATATACAGCCATGACATATCAAACCAAATAAAACCGATGTTTTTAAAAAAGCTATTTTAACTGAGGCTATGTTAGGTGTGCAAGTTACTTTAAAAATCCTTGTAGAGGTGCTAGCAATGTATTAGATCAACAAATAAGTTCACAACCTTCATCACCACACATGTTCCTCTGTCACCAGGGAGGACACAGGGTAAGGAAAAAGGGGTTACAGCAATGGGACGATGACAGAAAAATGGCTGTCCTTGGTTCACCATTGGTCAGCCACTGACAGCTTCAAAACTATCACCTTTCCAATGCTTATTAATCCAGCTTTCCCAGGACTAAGAAATCCTTCTAGTTTTAATTCTGACGAGTTGAGGAGAAAATATTTTACTTTTTAAAAGTATCTGTATTTTTGGTCATAATCATCTTTTACAGAACCACTATAGTGAACCTAAACAAATAAATACCTAGGTTTGGAATACTAACATTTAAATTCAACAAAGTATTTCATTAAGTGTTAGGGAATAAAAAAATAACATTTTGGAGGGGCTAGAAGAGAGAGCTGGATTATTGCAAGAATATTTTTTCTATTAGCAGCAGTTACTCTCATTGGCCATCCCTTTAAAAATAGAAGACTAGAGTGAAACAAAGAAGGAAAGAAATCCCAGGCAAGATCCAGGCAACAGCATGTGCAGATCCCACTAGGGAAAAATGGAAAGCTGAAGCTTTTCTGCAGATACTGTTCCTGATACCATGACTTTTAAGTTGTTCAGGAACTGAACCAGTGAAGACTTCTGAAGGAATACTTTCAAAAGCTGTTATTTCCATGAAAAGCAAACCATGGTGGGGGCAGCACAAACCACACCACAGACAAGGCTATACACTGTGGATTGGGAGACCAGCAAAACAGACTGGGTGATACGTTTTTAACCTTTATTTTGGGCTTGGGTTATGCCCATCTAACAATTAGGAGAACAACCTTCTTACAAGGAGACTTGGAATACAGAATTCCAGAGAAAACAACAAAAAGCAAAGCGCAGCAGATATGAGGCCTGCTAAGTATTGGGCAGCACTGATAATATTCTTTCCCCACAGCCCTAAGTAACAGAAGCTGCTAAAACTGACCATTGATGAAGCAATGAAGGGTTCATGGGTAACTGCAGAAGTTCACCACCACTGGTCATTCCAAGGAAGCCTAATCCTGTAGTTTATAACACAAAGCAGCAAAGAGCTCAGCTTGGGATCTCCATTTCAGCTCAGATTTCAGGAGATCACACCTACCAGACAGGGTAATTCACAGGGAGGCAATCCATCTCTGTCTGCAGAAACACTGCTTGACAAATATAAATGCACATACGTATTCATGACAGCTCCTCCTTCTGCTGTTGTCCAAGCATAGCCAGGTGCAGCAAACATCTGACTGAAAGCTGGAGCAGGTACAGCTTCCAGTCGGGGATGTTTACAGCAACAGACTACCATACCTCACTGCAGGGCCTTGGTGCAGAGCAGCTGGTCACCTCTAGGAGAGGGAAATAAAAAAAGAAAGGATTTAAGACTAACTTCTGTAGCATTCCAGCCAATTACTGTGCAGCTAATATTGAAGAAAACATGTTTTTACATTCAGTGGCAAAAATAGTTTTAGATTCACACACAACTTACATTAAATTAACATTTCTAAATGTAGCAACTAGATGAAAAATTCTCAATTTCAATATATATTTTGAGATGTCTCTAGGTTCAAACAGATTCATTCTTATTTATGTATTTTTTTATATTTATTTATAAATATATATTTAATTTATACATTTAAAATGGACATAAAATAATTATTATTTTAAAGATACATTGACTTTACTTCCCTATTCCTGGAGCTCTCAAAAACAGACTTTGGCTTTGAACTTTCCCATGAATTTTGAAAATGGCTATTCTCTCATAAATATTTATGGTTTTAAATACAGCTCTATGCAAAATTAAAGACAGAAGCAAAAACAAGCCATGTTTTTAATGAAGAAATAACAGAAACAGAAACTAGACAGAATTCTGAAAATATTTACCCTCAAGGTCAGAATCCTGCCTGATCAGTTTAAAGCTCTATTACAACAAACTGATTAAAATAAACCCAAACCAAACCTATTCTCTTTGGGTAAGCATTAAAGGAGAGGGAAAGCAACCTCAGGATGGAACCATTTCACTTCCCATCTTCAAGCTCCTATCAAAACTCCCACAACACTTGCACTCAATTTCTCTACGTTAAAAGAACCTTTATAATATTAAAATTCAGTATTTATACTGTATAATACTCAAAGAAGAAATAGTGCAACAACTAACTGGGTGAAATGCTTTTAGTAAAATACTTTCATGTAATGTACACTTTGTCCTAATGCTCTGATTTCACGCCATGGAATTGGGAGCATTCAACCATTCTGGCTTGATCATATTCACATACTACTTAGAAGCCTTAATTTTGTAGTTTATAGCAGAATGCCTTCCTCCCACTAACAGAGCTGCAAGCAGAATGATATATTCCCCACTTAGCAGTCCTTATCACTTCCAAATGGAAATAATTTTTCAAGTCACAAGTTTTTCAGTGCCAGATTATACATAAATTACAGCAATTCAAGGTTGCTTTTTCTCTGTTTAGATCTCCACAACAACTCATACAACCAGAAGTTATGACAAGGAGTTTGAAACTGAAAAAAAAACTACAGTAGTCAAGATTTCTTGTTACAGAAACCCAATCACATCCAGTTTTCAAAGAAAGGTTTCCCTCTGGAACACGAGAAATTGTTACCAGTAAGTGAATTTCATTATTACAGCAGCATGCCAAGATTAACGAGGAAGCTGCATGCAGTCACTATGGATACCATGCTGACCTTCATTATTTTTGAGAATAAATAACTAAAAAGCCAGTGGTCATTTGCAACAAAGGCCTCTTCAGGCTGTTCCAAAACTGAAAATTCCTATTTTACATTGGAAAGAAATAGGCTATTTCATGCAGAGGTAGGCACATGGTATTTGACTAATTAGGCTGCTGAGCATTAAATTGCAATGAGCCATTTCTTTGGTTCCTTTCTTTAACATTTCTTAAGGAATAATGAAGGTTACTACAATGTTACCTGCCCAAAGAGAACAAACTCTCCACAACTTTGTTTTGTTTTACCATATACATCATCACAAAAATGCCAATCTACATGACATCTCTTGCTGCTTTATTGGATTCACTATCTACTATAAATACCTGCATGACATCTTACCAAGTAATTATATTTGTTTAAAAGGAGTTGAAATTTTAATTTTCAAATGTGGTGTTGGAAAAGGCAGAGGCATTACAGGTGACAGTACAACTACATGCCTGAAAGACACAAATTTCTAGAAAAGTTCAGTCAAAACTGAAACCATACATTCATTAAGAAGCCTCTTCAGAGATTTTCCCAACCACTTCTTTTCAAACAAAGTAGAGAGCATGCTCCAATTTTTCTTAATGATACAGCCCTTTTGTTTTTGTAAAGACTAGAAGGTCTGAAAATAACCAGGATTTTTTCTAATATCATCACTAGCTGAAGAGCATTGGCTGCTGGCTTCTGTTAATGTCTTTAACTGTTTCTCTTGAGAACACTGACAAAATATATCATTCTTTGAAGTGTGAAATTCCCGCCTAACTCCACACATAGAGAACACAAGGAATAATGCAGATCTTCAGTAATACATGAAGTCCTTCTGACACCTGAAATTTACCTATTTGTTATTAGCAGCCATGTAAGATCACCCGCCTAGGAACTGTTCTTCAGCTGTCCATACTCCAGAATAACAACAAAAACAAATTAAAATCCTTATTTAACTACCAGAAAACTTGTGAATGCTGGCTGTTGACTTCCATTGTGAAGTTCTTCCTACTGTATTTAGATTTGTGTGCAGTTCAAGAATCCCTTTGATAGTTAGGATTTAATGTTTAATTCTCAATTCTCTTCTGGTCAATATGCATGACTAAAAAAAACCCTCATGGGATTTACTTCATGGAAAATTCAGGATTTAGAAGAGACACCATTACAACACTGTGTCGATTCACCAGTTCCAAATCAAAGCCATGCAGATCACCAAGACTTACTGCAATTTACCCAAGCCTCCATCAATAATTTACCAGTCACACAGAACTTCTATTGCACCTTTCATGAGCACCTTGAGCAAAAGGTCCAGCAAGACAGGAAGGAGGAGAAAGAAGAAAGGAAGAGGGTGAGGAAGCAAACAGCCCAAGAGCTTCCTCCTTCTCTTCTCCCACATCTTAAGACTTCCTCGCTCTACAACCACCATCACTCACCACTGAAACTCATTGTATTTGGGGCCTCAGTTGCCACATAAAAATATTGAAATGTGAATGGAGCCAAGGAGCCTGTGTGTGCATGCTCGTGTGTGTGTTTGGAGCCAAGATCTTGTCAGTCAAAGCAATTTAGCCTCAGATGCCTGATGCAAGCACAGGGTGATGAGAAATGACAGAGGCAGACAGATGCTCACTGTTGCCATGAGGGCTTTTTTTTTGAAGTGATGCATATTTACCAGAAGAGAACTGAGAATTAAACATTAAAACCTAACTAGGAATTCCTAAAGGAATTCTTGAACTGCACACAAATTGAAATACAGTAGGAAGAACTTCACAGTGGAAATCAAGAGCTTCCACTGTGAACTGCAGTGAACTTCTGACACCCACACAGAGTTCACTGCAGCACTACAAGTTAACAATACCCATCATGAGGAATTACGGTGAAGTAGGAAGTGAACACAAGTAGTTTTAACACTGAATTTCCTGTGTATTTTCAGAAAATCACATTCAGCTTCTTTTGACCACTAATACTTACACAGTGCAACGAATATAAGAGGGAGAAAGACCTCTTAAACTGGGACACGAATTCTAACACAATGATAGAGATTGAATCTAACATTACCAATTGGCAATAAAGAGGGGAAAAAAGTGCCTTTGTATTTTAAAAATGTCTGGGAAACCATGAAAGTAGAATATTACTAGCACACCTCAGATGGAATTTCAGTGAGGGCTGGATGCATATACCATATGAAATTATTTCTGTAAAACAAACAACTAGAAGCCTATGTGGTAAATTAATTTTCATCTGACAAAAGGGGTTGTAAGGAGAACAAACTACTGAAAAAGGATAATGGTGTGAGACAAAATAAAATTCAGATTCTGATTCAAGATTGCTCCACATCTTAGTCTGAACAAAGTTCGAGAAAGTCATAAATTTAGTGTGCTCTGCCTAACAATGATGGCAGCAGTTACATACCCCCTTCTTCCCCACCAGAGTCTCATTTTTCTGGCTCAGCAACACAGCTCAGCCTAAAGAAACCATATGGTTATTTAGGGAACAGCATCTTGGCTCTCCACGGGGTGGAGTACCATACCCAAAATGTCATTCAGGCCAACTGAAGTCTTTATTTCAGGGAAGTTCTGCAGTAACTGGTTATCTCCACAGTCACCACAGGAGGTAGGAAGTGGCTAATTCAAGGTCATTTTGCTTTAAAAATGAGCTGAAAAAATTTAAAGTTCATCTACCACACTAAAAAGTTATCATAATGAGTTACCCTCATAAATCCCAACCTGAAAATTAACCTGCAATCAAGAACAGAAAAAAGAAGAAACAGTATTACTACCCTTACTTGTATTTCTCTTCCTCAGTACACAGTCATCCAGCTGTTTATATTGCTACAGGACATACAGCAACATGTACTGTTATTTTCACTTTCTAGATTTTAAACTTTTCCAGCAGGACAGCCTCATCCCAATTCACAAGAAACACGTGAACAACCAGAACTACAAAATTAGAGCAGAAATATGAATACTATGAATGTATTAGGCCAGATTTCACATAAATATTCCCTCAAGTTTTCATTGAACAATTCCTTTCTCAGTGTCAGCAAGAAATTTTGATTATACAACCTAAGTAGGTTTGACATTGTACCTCATTACTGCTACCCATGGCATAGTTTCAATTTCATAGTTTCAGCTATTTACCTCCTTTGCTCCCTCTTACAGGAAAGGAACTTTTGCCTCATTCCTGGTAAAGATCTACAGGGAAACCAGATGGCTCAATGTGGGTCAGATTATTGTAGATATTTAATAATAAACTATTAAAACAAACTACAGCTCCCTCTACCTGACATATCTCCCTGTTATACTGAAGAATCTTCCAACTCCTAATATGGGCCCACAATATGTCTTTTCTTCTTTCAAGGTAACCAATCTCACTGATCCAAGATGACAAAACTGCCTGTAAATCTGGCCTCTTTCATTTTAAAGGCATCTTTAAAGCATAAAATTCAGAAGATGCTCCAATCTGAAAAAATACAAAAGAAGTTCATACCAGTGATCTGATTAGTCTGACTGGAAGACAGAAGTACAAGGACAAAAAAACCACTTAAACTTGACAAGAAACAGAAATTAAGAATACACCTAACAGATGTTCATTGCAGTGCCCTCTAAAAAAAAATCTAAATATCAGGAATGGTAAAGATTGAATTATTTGTAGTAAGTTCACTACTGAAGGTCTCCACACCTGCCAACTCAAACATGGCTGAGCACAGATGGAAAAACCTCCCTAAAAAGACAGAAACCAAAAAAATCTATACAAATATGTCGTTTGTTAAGTAGGTTGTTGGTTGTTTGGGGGTTCTTTTGAGTGGATATCAATTGAGTCTGGTGTCCCAGACTCCAATCAATGACACATTTAGCACACTCCTTCACTTAATGACTTTTCACTCACATTTGCAATTATAATTCTCTGGTGATATCAGCTGCCAACAATAGTTCTCTCTAACACTGTGAGGGAACGAGTAGAGAACTGCAAGCAGACATTCCAAGTCCCTTTGCTTACCTTGCTGAACAAGGGCACATTTGGACAGTCTGCTAACAGCAGGGTCCAACAACCAAGTCTGCAGCAATTACTAAACTGCTGCAGAAGCCGGTAAGGGCCAGGCCACCAAGAGATCCACAGAGAATGTTCCCATTTTAAGGATAATCCTCTGTGAATGTATTCCAATCCTTCCAAATGAGTATAGCTGCAAATATGACAAGTCCTGGCATCATCACACTGAATTTTGAAAGCAGAGTCTGGAGGCTGCTGCTGCAGCCTGCAGGCTCTGCTGAAAGTACAGTGTCACAACCACCTATTTTCCCTGCTGTATATTTAATTGCTCCACTGCAATTAAATAATATATAAAGGATATCAGACTGAGAACCAATCTATACACTGGTATCAATCCTAACCTTGCTCCCAGAGCATATACACTTTTTTAAATTACTTCAAAGAAAATAAGCTCAACCCAGCAAGCATGCAACTCACAAACACCAGATAAGTGCACAGCTCTTGGGTTTACAAAACATCTTTGTTCTTATGCAAAAGTTTTTCTTTTTTTTTTTTAAGAAAGTCAATTACTTGTTTTGCAATAATACTCAGGAGATCCATTCTTTTAAGCATATTTGTAATCCTGCTTCCACAGAGGAAACAGTGCACGCCAGAACAGCACAGTCATGGCATCCACTTCAGAATCAACAACCTCAAAACCAAAACCATACAGCATGAAATACTACTAAACTCCTTTCAGCTACTTTCATACTGATTATCTCTATTTAAAATGCAGATTTCACCAAGTCTGCCTCAGAAAATAATTTTCAAGATTTACTGACAGTAATTGGAACCAGACACAGTGCGCTGGCCAAGCAGCTCATTTTGAAAACATTAACTCCATATTATAGAATCAATCTTACATCAGATCTGACAAATAGACTTGGAAAATTACTGCTTTCAGAGCCTCTCAAACACCATCTCCCCCAGCATTAAGCCACCTCCTTCAATAATTTATAACAAACAAGAATTAAAATAGACTTTCCTAGTTTGTAAATTTTCCGGGCATATAACTGATAAATTTGAGTTATATTTCCCTACTTGAAACAACTTAAGAGTTGAAATTTAGTTACTGGACTTATATAATAAGGCATAAAACTTTCTGAAGAAGACAGAAGTAACTTTTAGGAAGATTTTTTTTCCTATATAATGAAAATAATTTTTGTTTTTCATACTGACTGCTAAAAATTTTGCTTACCAACTACTAAATTAGTTGGGTTTTTTTCTGTATTCTGTGCTGCATTATGCCAAGATTCATCAAATCACAGAATATCCTGATTTGGAAGGGACCCATAAGGATCATGAAGTCCAACATCTGGCCCTGCACAGGACACCCCATGAATCACACCATGTGTCTGTGAGTGTTGTCACCTACTAAAGCATCATGGCATTCGCAGGAGGTTCCCACCATCCTCATGCCTGAGAACTCCAAAGTATAGAGTCCCATCAGCTTCTGGAAGAACTATGGAAAAAGTCTGGATGAAATTAATGTTGATAATCTTAAGGAATTAACAAATATTTACCAAAGGCAGAGCATAGCTGACTCCTGGGGGGCTCTGATTTAAGTTGAATGGCCCAGAGAACATTCTTTGACTTCAGGACAACTTTCAGGACAGGTCTCCCACCGCAGGCTCATGTGGAGTCTGAGGTGCCCAGAGCTCCAGGAAGAGAAGGGAAGCTGGCCAGATTTCTGGATCACACAGCTGCAAGCAGAAAACCAGCTGCATCTTGGCCAGGTAGGACTCCAGGGGCCATCCCAGAGCCCCAAACACTCACCAGGATCCAGAAAGCTGAGGCAGAGCACACCCTCAGCAAACTGGCAGAGGACTGGAAAGTGGAGAAGAGAGGTCTCACACAGGGAAGGGCAGCACTTCCACAAACATAAACATACATGGATAAGCCCAAGGATGGGGCCAAACCAAACCTCATCAGGCCCAGGGCAGGAAAGCAAAGCTGTGCCCCAGGGCAGAAGAACCCCACAGGCCCAGCACAGGCTGGGGAGGGCTGGCACAGCACCAGCCCTGCAGGAAAGGGCCCAGGCACTGGGGCAGATGCCAGAGGGAACAGGAGCCAGCGGGAAGAGGGTGATCCCTGCCTGGCCAGACCCTGGCAAGGCCACTCTGCACACATCTGGTGCCCAGGTGGGGACCCCACTCCAGCAGGAGCCTGAGGAACCAAGGAGGGTCCAGCCATGGGTACCCAGGGGGTCAAGGGCCTCAGGGGCATCATCCACAGGGAGAGGCACAGGGAGACCGGCCTGTTTTCTCTGGCACACAGAGGACTGAGACCTTCTGAGAGCTGCCTACAGCTACACCAGGATGGGAGCTGTAAAAACAGTGCACACAAACACTCTCAGCCCTGGCAGACAGGGTAAGGAAGAGCAATGGCCACAAAAGGCACCATGGAATATTCAGGTTGGACACAATGACAATCTTTTTCACTAGGAGGGTGGTGAAGAGCAGGCACAAGTTTCACACGGAGGCCGTGAGTTTGCTGTTAGTGGGGGTTTTCACAGCTTCAGGGGTCAAAGCCATGACTTCTCACCCAGTGCTACTTCTATCCCTCCTTTGAATGAGTGGTTGGACCAGAGACCCCCAGCAGCCTCTTCTGACCATTACACCTGCAATTCCATGATCTCATTAATTCCTGTGATATGCTTCCAGCAACTACAGTCTTGTTTATATAATTGTCCTCAGACATAATGAAGTCAATATTGGATATAGAACTATCCATAGATTACATCAGTACAGTCTTTTCTATAAATAACCAGGTGTTATCAATAGATTCCACTGCCAGCAGGTCCAACAGTTCTGAAATCACAAATACTTGATGTTAACACTATTTTTATCAGGTGAGGCCAAATATTTAAAAAAATAAATTGCAGAGAAAATAGAAGTTGCATACCTAAGGCTACTGTACTTAAATATGCTGCCAAACACAATCCCATGGTCACTTCTGTAGATGATTCAATGTTCTTCCAGGAAAAGAACCCTTCAAGATTATAATTTTATGCCAGTATATTAAAGAACATGCAATATGAAAGATATTTTTACTTAGCTTGTATGCAGGGACTCCCTCAAATTTGAAAAAGGCAGCAGAATGTTTCCTACAATACACTCTTCTGAACACGAAAACTATAAAATGTTATTCTGAAGCAATACACAGGGATGCCTTACATTTAAGGACTGACTACTGATTTTCAGTCTCTTTTTTTCCCAGCAAATCTCACTTTTGTGTTCTGCCAGTACTGAATACAGCTTTTCAAACTATCATAAACTAAATAGTGAAGGTGGACAGTATGATCCAAACTATTTCTCAGTCACTACAAGTGCAGAGCTTCCGTAAAAATCAGAATTAAACCATTTACAGTAAACAAACAGTTTAGAAGTAACTCAGGAGTAGGACTGGTTTCTACAACTCATTCCCACGACAGTGCAGTTTAAGAAACAATTCAATGCAACCAACAAAACAGCTTGGTGAAGGGGAAACCTAGATAATTGCCTGATATTAAAATCTGGGGGTTTGGGTACTTCTGGTGCAGCAACCCTGAAATTCCCACACTGTCACCAAGTTTCAAACTAACAATGAGCTACTCAATTTTATCAGATTAGTAGCTAAAATGAACTCTCTTGCTTGCGTTGACTGATGCTTTTCATACCTTTTGGTTAGCTAACTAAAGCAACCCTCTTAAAAAACACAAACCTCAACCTTCTGCCCACATCAGTGGGTAGTGTACTGCCATGGGAGGAGATCTGAGAAACCACAGTTTGTGCTGAAGACAGTATTTAAATTACACATACCCCAGGGCAGCTCACTTCAGAACAGGCTCTAATCCTGCCTAAGGTCTAAATATCCACAAACTAAACCCATCAGTGAAGTCTGGAAGCACATGTTTCAATTCTCATTCTTCCAAAACATGACTTGCATGTTCAGCAGGATCAGCAGCAAAGAATGCCAGTACCCAGCCTACAGTGACAGGCATTCTGGGGATAACAACACACAGTTGTTCTCACGTTAATCTTAAAGCATTTTTTATTAGCTCTGCAAAATACAGAGTAATACAAGAATATAACAACTACGTGCAGCTGAATTTTGTGTCGTACTTCAAACAAAACAACTGCGCAACAAGAACATCATTTAATGCAACTTAGCATTGCTTTATAATTATCTTAATGAGAGAGGCTGTTGCACAATGACTGTTCCAAAACCATGAAAAGAATACTCACACCACAGAGCCTGACTGCTGGTACATTTTCAGGATGGCTTAAACTGAACATGTCAAAAGCACTGTGACAGAAGGGTAGTCAAGTTCTCTGTCTTCCAGCTGAGGGATTCCTACTTCCTCTACCACTCCAGGAATTTTTGGATTTCATGATGCAGTTTACTTGGACAACCACTATATTAGCTGCAAAATAATAATGGGGAAAAAATAGAGGAAAAACCATGAGTTTTCTGCAACAGAAGGCAGATGATCTCAATTACTGGAGAGCAGTTTGATCCTCAGCACTGACAGGAAGGCACTGCATGGGCCAGGACTGCCTGTTTTGGTGGCGATGCAGTGCTAAACCAAGATAGGTGAATTGTTTAACCACAACAGAACCTTCCCTTCCCCTGGCTCCCTAAAAAGACAGAAATACTTAAGACATTTGGTATCAACATGTTGAGTGGGGAACAGTACCATGAGCAAGATGTAGATCTCAGAGAAAGAGTAAACAAGAAAAAATTAATTTGGCAAAACCACACTTCCTCAAAGGGAGTATTAACTTTGCGACCATTAGATGCAGCTTCAATATTTCCCTGCCTTGCAAGAGGAACATGACATTTGGAAAAAAAAAAATCAGCAGAGGAACATCAAGTTGCTTTTCACTCTCCACATTGAAGTTCACCCCCACTGCAAGTCTGAACACTGTCCTTCAGCCTCTTTTGTTAACACTGCACATTAACATGGAGCTCTTCCCACAGGCTTCTGTGCCAAACACAGTCAGCAGACTCCACCTCCATGGAAATCAGCTGAGCAATTCCACAGCAATCACTTCTCCTAAATGCTGGAAGGAGTCCCAAGTCTGTTTTCTGTTCCCAATGCTCCACTTGCCAGTTCTTGGTACAGTGCAGGTTAGTCCCGAAAGCACGTGGCCCTTGGGGAGGCCAAGGCAAAGCAAAAGAGCACAAGAAGACACAGAAACCTTTCCGAGTAGTCAGAAGCATCTTAAAGCACCTCAGGCAAAAATACCCTTGAAGACTTTGCTGGTATAAAACGTTGCTGAATACTAATATTCCCGAAAAATATCTGTGAAAACCTCCACCCAAGGATGTGGTTCTGTCCTCCTTCACTGACTGGAAATGACACATGTGCTGCTGACACATAAGCATCAGTTACTTCATTAGGTCAAGGGTACAACTGTGCAGAATTACCATGAGTGATGAAAGCCAAGCCCAAGAGTAGAGCTCCCACACAAAAATGTCATTAAATCTGGACTTTCTGCACTGCAGATTTTATTTTCTATACAAGAGCCTGAAATAAAGCTCATTAAAGCTAGGCATTAACCATAATAAATCAGCTAAAAAAAATAATTAAAACTGCTCACCTAATTTCACCATATTTGCATATGAAAAATGTTTACAAAAATATAAAAATAAGCAAAAAATATGGCTCTCCATAGGAATCCTGCCATACTCAGTTTATGAACCAGATGATGTCCCCTGAAAGAGGTCTGAAGTGCAAGGATGCAACAGTCCTTAAAACTTACTCTGCCTGTTGAAAGAGCTACAACCACATGAGCTCAACAGAAATGCTGTAGAAACATGCAAAAAGTCCATCTGAGCAATCGATTTCATGTGCAGTTTGTAGCTTTCTTTCAATGTGAAGCATTCAAATATAGCTGGTGTTAGAGCAAAAAGCATCAGCAGTAGCATTTCTAGAACACAGAGGTTTTGTGAAAATTGCTAAAAGATAACCTGTACAATGGGACCTACAAATGCACACTTTAGGAAATGCTGTAAACACACACTTCCAGTCATTTGTGTACAATAAACTCAAGCACCAAAACTCACCACTCTTGCACAAAGCCATGGTCAGCTGCCTCAGGCTCCACTTAAATGCAGGAAACAGAATCATAGTTGGCAAAATCTGACAAGCTCCGAACGCAAGTGAAAGCTAATATTTAATCTTGCAAATACCAACTTAACTAAAATACTACTTAGAAGTACAACACCTCAAGCTAATTATATTTAACAACTTAAACCAGTAGCTTCAAAGACAGGAAACACCACAGAGTTATCAATAGCCTGTACACCACAGTGCTTCAGCCTCCAATGATCTGCAAGTTCCATCTGTGCAAAGATTAACCAGACGGCCAAAATAACTTGATTCTACAGAGGGGGAATAAATGACTAAAGCAAACAGCCATAGTTCAACTTACCTGCACATTATAAACTGTCTAAATTATTAAGAAATAGATTTGTAGCATACCAGTAAACTGACAGAAAACTAACAGTCACCTCTTTTAAAGAAGGCAAATTAAGCAAACTTTACCCCTTCTTCCCCCCTGCCAAAAATAAATTAATGATTAAGAGTCTTTGAGAATTGCAGCAGAGGTTTGGTTTTACTGGGATGTCTGATGCTTTCAGGAGAAATTTAAAAGTAGTATTACACATTACAGTGATTCAAGCTGTGCAAATAAAGGTTGTTTCTCAATTTCTATATAAGCAAGAAGTCAGGAATCATTAACTACAACAAGAAGGAACTTCACACTGAAGTTCATGTTGTGTAAGAAAGAACAACAAAGACACCAAACTTCTCCCTGATCTTGCAATATGCAACTTCACATTATCATACAGAATCACAGCTTCCATCAGTTCATTAGAACCAAGGAATGTTTAAGTACAGAGATTCATTATACTTACATGAGATTTTACTGCTTCTAGTTAATATTTGGCATAACCTGACTCTTAACTGAAACATCAGCTTAGCAGACCCTGATCTAACTAGTGTGTTTATCAAGACAAGTCATTCAGTTACCATATTCAAAGCAAAAACCTCACCATAAAATTTTAATTAGGTTTCTGAACTCAAAGCAGTCATGCAGGCTGAAATCAAATGAAGAATGCAAGACAAAACAATCGTGCCTAATCATATAATATTTGAGGATATCAACTACTACATTTATTTTGTAATTAATAATAATAAATCATTGGATCAGACATGGGAACGCTTTTTTCAAGTTAGAGTAATCATAAAAAGACAGGAAGTCAAAATGGACAAATGAGTAGTTTAAGAAAATATCACAGATTTCCTTGTTAAAGAATCTGTCTTGCATCACAGCTAAGTCAAGTTTGAACACTGCAAGTTCTTTTCAGCTAGAGATATGCACACCAATCTTCAGAAAGCCCTAGATGTCACCTTCACCTTCCTTAGCATTTTCATTGAAATACTCCCTCAATATATTCAGAACAGATGAGAGACAGGTTGCACAAAAACTGGCTGCCCTAATACCAGAACATTTCCAATGTTCCAGTGACCTGAAAGTACCTGATCCTGTCAGCAGACAGCTTAGTTATCCCACTGCAAAGGGCTGTGTGAAATTTGTCCTTGACCTACAGGGAGATCCAAGGGCTATGCTCACAGAGCCACCACCAAGAAAAACATTCCTGAACACTGCCTTTGTTGCACTGGGAGAAAGTATACACCTGTCAAACTAATATTAAAAATTAGTTAGCTGTAGTATTTCTTATCTTAACCTAATTTGATAGGAAAAAATGTGTTTACTTATCCTTCTGCAAGTGAAATATTGATTGTTCTTAAGTTAAAGTTTTACTGGGTAAGTTTACTGAACAGTAATTTAAGATAAGCAAAACTCCAAAAGAAGCAGACTAGGGAGAAGATGTGAAAGAATATTTATTTACAAGCATGATCTGTATATAATCAGATAATTTAGTTAAAGTTTATCAGCAGGGCTAAAAATCTATCACGAGATCTCTATAACATGCTCAAGATACTCCCAGAAAACATAGAGTTAACAAAACACACTACACGAATCATATGAGCATGTTGCAAGCGTGTTCATTAAAGTACTGATGCATATCAAATATGGACCAGTCAGCCAGGAAAATGAATACAGATAGAATGGAAAAGCAACTCTTTCAACACAAAGGTGCCCATCTCCAGCCAGAGCCCAAGTGAGGATGAGGTAAAAGACAGGAAGATGTGATGGAAAACTCAGCAACTTTAACTTTGAATACTTAAAGCTAACATTAATGAGAGACTGTTACTGTCTTGTCAAGCCCAAGAGCAGAGACCTGCTTTAGAACTCTAGGTAAGAACAGCCAGATGTGTCACCATATATATATACCAGAACACAATTTTCTGTCTGTTCTGCTTTTACCCTTTTGTCTCCCATTTCAATCTTATTTAATAAGTCTGCCTTCTGCTTTACTATTTTGTTTGCCTGGTACTGAGGATATGGGGAAAGGAGACAGTTTGGTGAAGGCTAAAAAACCTGCTCTGTGCCAGCAGCTCCAAGAAGTACCCTGAGAGAGGTGCTTTGGAAGCTCATGCGCCGAGGAACATTTTCTGCCAAGCTGCAGAGGGTCAGCAGGGCATCTTCTGTTGCCAAAAAGCACTTTCCAGAAGCTACAAATCTGAGCCTTTTCTGGGAGTTATCAACAGTACACAACACAGCTCCCCACTCACCCAAAACTGCAAACTCACGCTGTGATTTCTGCATGTGAAAGTCCCCATGGAAGTCAGAGCACGGCCACTTGGAGCGGTGAAGGGAGCAGTGTGGACAACACACAGACACCAGCTCAGTCCTCAGAACACTGGGAAACACTCTGAACATCTGCAGAATGACAGCCCTGCGTTTGGCTGAACCCTGCTGTAGCTGCAGAGAGAACAATGAAGTGCATGAATAAAGCCCTCTGAGGCTCAGCTGGCAGTTTGATTTATTATACTCACGTTAAGCCTCCAATGTTCATTCTCTGCGTAGCTCAGATACAGCAAAGGATTTGATTTGGACTAACTTACTTTATTTCTATATTCTTTACATAAAATGTCCATGTTCTTACAAATTTCACTAATACCACTTTGATAGCTAACATGTTGATTCAGTGTGAAACATCAGAATTAAACAGCCTTTTAGCTTCCTCATTCCCACAGGATTCATCATGCCCTCAGACACGAAACAATCTTATCTAGGGCACTTCTTGGGAATATTTTAATCATTTTCCCTTTATCTTTCTAACCTTCACATCTGCAGAAATACAGATCACATTTGCTCTACCTTCTCATGCTGTTAAACTCTTTCCTGCTGTTGTTCAGACTGAGGCAGTGTATAAGGAGCCAACTGGTATTACTAAAGGATAACTGCAGGCATGCAAAATTATCTGTACTAAATAAATTTTAAACTGAAAGGTATGTTGTGATCCTTCCATTCAAATGCCAGCTCAGACACTGCCTCTTTTTTGGGAAGTAGGACATTCTCCAGTTAGACCAGTTCACTACTCTATGGAACTTCCTGAGTAAGAAAAAAGCAAGAACATTTTGAAACAAATACAAACAGAACCAAGTTACTATTGATCAACTGTACCTCAATACACTCTCTTCCATACGTATATCTTATTGTTATTATAAATTGATATTATAACCTTTTCCAAGTAAGAATCAGTATGGAAGGAGGGTTTGTTTTTTTTTGTTATATTTCTGGGTTTATTTTTTTTCTACACTTTCCAAGTAAGAATTATGGAAGGAGGGCTTGTTTTTTTTTTTTGTTATATTTCTGGGTTTTTTTTCTACAACCCTTATCATTGCCCAGGAGGTTACAGGATCAAACATTCACCAGTGCAGCCATCCCTCCTGCTCTTCTTTCCATTCCACACTGCAACAGGACATCCAACCAACAATCTGGAAAAGACCACTGAGCCAGGCAATGAACACTCAGGCCAGACAACTACCCAAAGTGTTTTCCAATAAATTAGATAAAGTAAATTATGCAAACAATTTATCACAACTAATTCATACATACGATTTATCACAACTAAGTCATACTACCTTCCAGATCTTTTCAGAAAAAGAAACAGATCTATCATCTCACATGTTCAGGCACTAAGATTTTGGATCATTTTAATATTATTCCATATCATGCATGCCAAAGGTAGATCTGAAAAAACTTGCAGAGGAAGTCTATAACAAACTGAACAGATTTTTTTAAATGTTTTCCAGTCCTGATAGTTCTGAAAGCACTGACCTTTCCCTCATCCCAGAAGTTCCCTTCACTCTGGTGGGCATGCCTTCACCCTCAGACACACTTGTACCTTGAAGTACCTTGAAGATTTTTACCTCTCTGGAGTATGGAACACTGATCACAACAGAAAAAAATCCCCAGCCTGTTCACCAAACCCAAAATGCAGCAGCATGCAACAGCATACTGACAGTCTATTCAGCTTGTTCTCAATCTGATTATTCACGTGTTCTGTACTGACTGCCATCTGCCCACTCCTCCTCCTGTCTGTATCTGACACAGACTTTGTGCCATCTCATAAGCCTTTTTTTTGGCACTTTTCTGCATACTTCCTTCAGGACACTGCTACACAGAGGGAATACACTTCATTTTAAGATTGTTTCCTGGAGCACCCCAGGCATGACATTTCTAATCAACTCAAATTTAGAAAAGGTTTTGCCATGTAACACTCAAAAAAGCCCTATATATTTATATTTTGCTTTTAAAACATTTATATGTATATAATATGCATGCAGATAAAAATTATACATATTAAATACACATATAAATATATATACATACATATTTAAGACAGGAGATAGATTCAAAAAAAAGTCAGCCACACACTCTTTTTTTCCCCATTTAAACTGCAATTTGAGCACTAATCACCAGAAGTAATACCAGCGTAAGCGCACAGGTATTTTTATTTTAAGCAAACAATCCACTGCTTCACAGGACTTGACAGTTGTCTCTATTAACTCCATGGCTGTTGTAGCCAAATCTTATCATGCACTGAAAAGGACGTTGGGATTAATTACGCAGCTCCAATCTGGCCCTTTTATTAGTACCAGGAATGTTCATTCCCCAAGTTGTACATGACAGTCACTTAAAACTCCATCTGGCTTTTATGACTTACACCAGGAACTTCCGTACTAAGAGTTCATGAATGTATTAACTGCACCAGGGGTTTTGGATTTTTTTCCTCTCTCTCAAATAAAGAAGCTCGCAACAAACAGCTGAAGTATGAACAAACCTCCAAGTGCCTGTTAGCACTTGGAAATTTAGGAAGCAAGAAAGATTCTTTGCTTCTTTACACAATGCTTGTTTGAAAAATGTGGAGAAAAATAAATGCAGAAGATCATTCTCTTTACTCTCTCTGCTGCTGACCTTTAGACCTGACACCCACCGCATCCGGTGGGAAACTTTTTCCAAGAGCCTTCTTATAAATATTTTAGCAGATTTAAGCATCCAGACCGCATTTTATTTGCCCACATCTACTAAAAAAAGCTACTGATTCATGACAACATATATGTGGACCTTTATATTTATATAAGTATCTGTCACACAATAAGATATTGTGAAATATTGAACATGCCACGTGAAGATACTTTTGAAGCTTGGGGTTTTTTGGAGGAGTTTGCTTTTTTTACAGTATTTATTCTTACAGCTGCTACAAGGCTCTAAAATACAACTTCATTGCTGCCTGTTCTCCTGTATATGGTTTTAAAACAGATTTGCATATCCTCCATAAATAACAAAAGCACTAGGAAAAGTCCATGCACCCCTATCTTTGGTCAATAAACGTAACAGTGATAACTCGATTTCCTTCTCAAAATATAATTTCAAGTTTCTCTTAGATGTTTTGCCAATAAATGTCCTTAAACTTGCAAGAACAGCTTACTTAAAGGAATCTGTTCAGCTTTTCAGCATCTAAGGACTGCACCTGTTCCTTTTTAGATAACCAGCCCCCTTGTCAAGTCTTGCATTCCTCTTGTTTCTCCACTACAACAAGAAACTGTTTTGTGCAGTACAGAGCAAGTCACTCTAGAAAGTCACAGGAAAGATTTCTGTTACTTCCATAGGGAACATCAGCACTCCTCTCCAGGTGCACTTTTCCTCCAGGTCAACCCTTCTTCCCTCCGTAGATGGTTTCCCTAGAGAGCTACAGATTTCACAGTCTTGTAGACGGCTGTGCCAGATTAGTGCTCATAAGGAAACTTTCTAGCTGCTCCTAACAAGCCATGGAGTCAGACAAGGACAACCACATTCACCAAGACAGGTAATCAGGAATTTGGCTCCCTCACACTGCTACGGCACTAACAAAAGAGACAGAAGTATGAAACATTAGACACTGTTCAAAGAAGGTGCTGTTTACTTAGAACTAGATTATGCACATTGCTTTACTGCAAGATTTTATGCCAGCAAAGTTCAGCTAGATTTAGCAAGCAAGAAAAACAGAAGAAATGTTTGGATTTAGTGCTTATAATGGAGGGTTTGTTTCAATTTCACCCATCAAGTGGCAGTCCTTTCATTACACATGATAAAATGCTAACTGCAAGGACAAGTTTGAAGGGTCAGTATCTGAAGACACAATTCCTCCCAAAGACCTTGTAACAAGAAGTGTGCACTGACAGTATAATAAAAGCCTTTATTTTCCAGTCTTAGCATTATCGAGGCTTCTGTTGACACTGAAGTCCTTTGGGTTTTATGGCTGTTTTATCACCAGCCATCAAAACTGCATTAGTGGCCCATCTACATATGATACAGATCAAGGCTTCAGTCCAGTAAAACCTCTGTCACATGGCTTCATAGTGGTTACAGCTCTGTTACCAAAAGGGGCAGGGGACAAGCTGTGTCTCACTCCAAGTTATTCCTCAGATGTCTCCCAGGACACTGTTATGCTCCTGGCTCATAGGAAACTTGCATGCAGACATTTGAGACAAGCAGCAGCTCCCAACCCCTCCCGTAAGATAACGCCAGTAAATTATCATGCATGAGAACAGCAGGACAGGATGTACAGTGTGAGCTTACATAAGACACAAGGCACTGCTGGGAACCAGCACAAGTGAACAGCATAAATGGCTCAGAAAATGCTGATGTCACTCGTGTACGTTCGGCTTGCGCGGGCCAAGTTTCTCTGAACCCAACACTGGCCTTTCTGGCTGTTTGCAAATCCTCACAGTCTGCTCTGCTAGGGCCACATCTTGAAAAGGAACTTGTTTTCAAAAACCTGTGTTCCTTCCTAATGACAGCTTTCTTTAAGATGAGCAAGAATCTAAAGAAAAACAGAAAATGTAATGGAGAACTGGAAAAAGTATGTAATTGTGTAAACAAACACTTGCTCCTAATACTTACTGAGAAAACAGTTCAAGCACAACTTACCCATTTTAAAACATGACCTCTGCAAACCTACTAAGGTCAATGAGACTTACAGTAGTTACCCAGTGAGCCCTGCTTGCATAAATTAAAGATGCCTAAGGGTAGCTATGAAACCAGGTATTTAATTTTTCCAGGGCACCTACATATTAAGAATTAACAATAAACTGCCATTCTACCAGAGCAGCTTTCAGGTTCATTAAAAAAAAAAAAAAAAAAAAAAAAAAACAAACACAAACTCCAAACCAAACCCAGCTGGGTTGTGCTTACCCTCCTCTTCAACACAAAAGCTTTCCTACTTACTGTTAATCTGATTATGGAAGTTTCATATTAAATTGAGTAGGTAAGTGAGACACAATATATCAAATTACTTTCAAAAAATTCCCAGTGTATGAGGCAAGCATTGCTTCTTCCTGGTGTATCTTTATACAATATATTTAAAAAAAAAAATAGAAAAAACCATGACTAATCTAACTGCAAAAATCAGGATTAAGCAAAACTGTACAGAGAGAAAACTTATTTCACTCAGGTCAGGATTTGCAGCAGCAACTCCCAGCTCTGTGCTTGGCTGCTTCCATTTGTTATTGCAGTGGCTGCACTTCAGAGCAGTGTGTGAACCACAACAGTCAAGTCCTTCAGCTTCAGAACTCCTGTAGTTAGGTTTTTACCTATGAAATACTGAAGTATTCTCATCTTCCACAGAGAGCATCCTATAAGGTGAGGGGGGAAATACCGTTCCTAAAACTAACATTGCCTTTTATTACAGCTATAATGAACTTATTGTCACTCCCTTAAGTACTTCCTTTCAAAAGCACCATGTAGTTCAGAGATGTCAACTATAAGGGATAATCTGCTACATTAGAAATTCACAGGGCTTCCTTAGCAGTGGAAGAGGACACCACACAGGTTTGTTCCAAACAGAAATGGAAAAAAAAGCCATCCATAAAGTATTCTCAGTGTGGAACAGCAGCTCTTTGAAAGCACACACTACATCAAAATATGAAATACAAGATGACCACAGTGCAAATCATACAATATCGCAGGTTATTAAATGTCTTTTTAAGCAAGCTCTTACTTCCATCAAAGCGTGGCTACTACAGTTCACATCCTGCCTAGAGCCTTTCTGCTTCTGTGATAGAAATAGCATCGCTATCTACCCTTTATTACTACAGCAGATAAGCATTTCACAGTCATTAGTATGTTTATCCACAGAACGTTTTTGGAAAGCACCGCTATTCCCAATTCACAAGCAAACGGAGGACTGGCTGGTGCAGAAAGACTGATCCAAGGTCACAGAGTAAGTCTGTGGTAA